TTGTCCAGACTGTCTCTGCCCTGCTGAGCCCTCCAAAAGTCCCAGTCTGCAAACGGTGCTGCACCAGTTGAGTAGTCCTCGACTTACGACCAGTTGGGGGTCACGGCATTTAAAAGGTTGAGAACCATTGTCTTAGTTGCTCTTCTCTGAACTTTTCCCCAAGGCCTCAACATCTTTTTTGTAGTATGGTGACCAAAATTAGTTGCAGTACCACAGGTGTGGTCTCACTAGGGTTTTATAAAGCAGTACTAATATTTTGTGTGATCTTGATCTCTTCTTGTATGTTTGATTTGTCCTGCCTAAATGTAACTTTGCTTTTCTCCACATTAAAACTCATTTTGTTGGATAGTGCCCATTGTTTCAGTTTGTCAAGATCTTTTTGAATCCTGAGCTTGTCTTCTGGGGCGTTGGCTATTTCTGCCAGTTTATTTATTAAACTGTCAGTTTAATTATTAAACTATAAATTATTTGTAATTCCTTTTCTATTTTTTAATATTTTTTCCTGCACCATCTATTTTTTGTTAGTTTGTACTAGTTCTTTATCATTTTAAACGTAAATTTTAATAAAATTAATATTAAATTAAATAATAAAAACAAACAAACCTGATCGTGGGATCATAAAACACAGAACTGGTGATGTTGGATTTGGTGGCTTTTACTGGCTGGGTTTTTTTCAATTGCTGTTTAATTTTTTCTTCCTCTGGCATTTCCTCTAGAGATTTACGATAAGTTTCCTTATTCACTTCTGGTTCAATAAATGCAGGACTGTATCGGCTCCACCTGACTTGAGTCAGCCTACAAAAGGTTTGATGAGCAGAAAACCGTGGTCACACTAATATTTTCAACCTTCAGAACACAAAACTTTAGAATGCTGCCATTCTTCACATGCAATCTCAGTGGTCCAGTCTCTCGGATGCAACGCAATCACTTCGTTCAGCCCCAGAATAAAGCGAGCAGAAATAAACCCAGTTGGTCCCAATAACTTTAGACCTTGCATGCAACTTGGCTGACCTTGAAAGGCTTAAAAAGGAAAGAAGCAATGCAAACCGCTTGCAGAACATCGCATGACTGCGGCCATGCAATCCTCAGGGGAACGAGCGTTAGGACCGGGATGTTTAATTTCACAGAAGGCATTGGAGGATTTCCTCACACAGTCTCCACACTCGCTCCCGCCTGGCATGCATGTTGCCTCGAGGAACCATAATGCCAAGTGCCATTCTAGTTAGGGAACCAAATAAATCCAATCCTCCCTCTCTCCATTACATGGCCTCGCCTCGAGCCTTTTCAACTTTCTTTGCTCCTCCCTGCCTTACCCGGGTAGCCAGAGCTTCCGAGAGCCACAGAGCTGCTGGACAAGGCGCCCGACTTTCTCCACCACGGGGGACGCCATCTTGCCTTTCAGGGCCTGGTCGAGGGCTTCCCAAAGGACCGCCTGGGAGGGCGAGGGCGGGAGGAGCGCTGTTGCTCTGGAAACGGCCTTCCGCGGGGAGGGGCTTTTTCCATTCCACGCGCCTTTGTGACGTAGCCATCAGCTGGGAAGTTCTGCAAAAAATCGGAGGAGGAGATTCCTTCTTCGCTTTCTAACGTGCTTTAAGCGAGATGGTCATCTCTGCAGAGAAAGCTTGGATATGCTAACCTTCTCTTCTTGGTGTATCTGTAGAAAGTGCAAAAACAAGTTTTTACTCGCTGAGTAATCATCTCGAAGTCTTGCTGAGTTAGTGAATGACATAAGGGGGGGGGGTTACTTCCTCCTTCCAATCCTGGGCAAGTATTCCTCGGTTTTTCAAGCGGGTAGAAACAATGCGCTAGTTTGGCCCAGGGAGCCAAGCTTGAGACATAAAAAATTGGGGCTAATAGAGGCTGCGTCCAAAAATGCTCATCGCGTAAAAAAGCGGTTCTAGGGAAAATGCAACTGAACCGGTCGGCCGTGTTGGAACTTGGAACTACAGCTCCCAAAATCCCAAGCGGCGGGAGTTGTAATCCCTCATCTATTTAGATTAGATACCGTACTGTGGGAGGCTGGGCCACGCTAGGAATAAAGACTCGTCGTTGCTAGTTTGCCATAGTTTGTCACATGGTTACGGGAGATCATAAAGCATCTGTATATGAGCAAAGAAACCTCTGGGTTACAGCTTATTCTATTTTATTTTCCTAGTAATCTCTCTATATAGGGGGACAGAGTTCTGTAAACTGTGTTGCGATCTTGAAGGAAAAGCGTAGCCTTTTAGGATCATTACATTGTATAGATGGAGAAAATTGTGCTTTAAGATAATCTGCTGAATTGGTCCTACAGTAAATGGGACATATAATCTTGATTTTTATTGTCAGCTTTGGGGTCTACTTTGCCAAGGATGGAAGCAGGGATTTAGGGGAAAGCTTTCTGCTTTTTCTTAAGTAGAATCATTTTTTTTCAACCACACCCGACGTATTTGAAAAGGCCACCGCACAAGCGAACTGGAGAGGCGGGAATGACAATCCTCGCAAGAATAAGGACCACCTGATCACAGAAAAAGCGATAGTGAATGACGCCCGCCGCCAGAGGGCGCTGCGAGAGGAGGAGACGCGGATCTTCTCCCACCCCATCCCTCCCCAGGGTTAGGCGGCGCCTGGTCGGCTCGGCGCAGCCGTGGCGTAACCTGATCGGGGGGCGGAGTCTCCGAGCCAGCCGGCAACATGGCGGAGGCGGAAGGGGAAAGCTTGGAGTCCTGGCTGAGTGAGTAACCCTTGCCCTCTTTCCTGCCGCCGGGCAAGGAGGCGGCGGCCGATGCGGCAGCAGTCTCGCCTGGCCTTGGAAGGAAGGCGCGTTAGGAACGGGCGGGTGGGCGATAGAAGCAGAGGGGAAGTGTTTGCACCGCTGGAGAGGAAGGCGAATGGGATCGTGACAGCCTTGGGGGGGGAAGTCCGAGGGGGTGGTTGTGGTGGTGGAGGAGGAGGAGGGCGACAGAGCGGGGTGGCTTTGACCCTGATCGGCTGAACTTCGGGGATTGGAGCTGGAAACGGCAGCGGGACCGGGTTGAAAAGCCGTGGCGGGGCTGCTCTGTGCCTTCAGGGGTTCATCAGGTGGACAAGCCAGTTCTTGGGACTAAACTAAAGGAAGCCCACGGAGAGCTTCGGGGTCGCTGCTTGTTGTCGTTTACCTCCGCCCACCCTTGCTTTTCAAGCTTTGGACCAGTCGCCTCTTGCAATCCGGCCTTTTGGTTCCTTCTGATCCAGAGCTCGTGTGTCCTCCCTTCTAGCTTATAGGAGTGCACTTACTAAATGGAACACTTCCTCTTCTCTGGGACAAGGTGTTATTTACTTCTCTGGCAGCATGCAAGTTATTATAATGTTCTGTGGCTACAAATTAGGTCAACTGTGTAAATTTGGGGCAGTGGAGCTTATGCTTTAGGAAACGTGCAGTCCTCAAATTAGGACCGCAATTGGGACCAAAATCGCTGTTACTAGGTGATGTGGTCATAAAGCAATGTGGTCATCATGTGACTGCATCACTTAGAGACACAATCCAGGCAGTCCTGGTTGTTGCTATAACTCCAGTAATATAGGTCATTAAGTGGGAAGTGGAGGGAGTCTGCCTGTGCAGAAGTGCGGCAGGAGGGTGGGAGAGGCCTGAGTGATTTTGATCTTTCCTGCCAGTTTCCCCATTGACTTTGCTTCTAGATTAGAAAATGCAGCAGGAAAGGTCGCAAACGGCAATCATGACCACAGGACACTACAACCAGTCATAAGTGCAAGCTGGTTGCCAAGCCCTTCAATTTTGTTCATGTGACTGTGGGGTGCTGCAAAGTTTGGAACTTGAGAACCAGTCATAACTTTGAACAGTCCCTGAATGAATGGTTGTAACTCAAGAACTACCTGTATTTTTACAGTACTGTTTTTACTTTGTTTGCTTCAGAATATTCCCAAATTACTTTTTCCCCCTTCACTTTTATTTGTTAGAAAAAGATTCCATTTCCTGAAATATACACTTTATTTCTACTATCCTCTTCCTCTTTCCATTCACTTATTTGTAAGTTATTCATTAATACTGATTTCGGCCTTTTCACAATTTTCCAGTGTTGTAACTTCCTACCTAGCTCTGTCGTACAGTTTTTAAATGCTACAGAAAAAAAATCCTTTTTCCCCCTTTCTGCACTGAACTGCCAGTGAGATGTTTTGCCTGTTGCAATAAAGTAAGGACGACTGTGCACTTCAATACACAATATACACACTCAGTTAAACAGAAAACCTGAGTTGCATTGGCAGTACTTGAAGATTCCGGTGGATTGGCTCCATTAAACAGTGATTAATTTCTAACAGGAGGAAAGAAGATTATTCTTTGTGCATTTCCTTCTGTTAAATAATTATAATATTTCAGACGCTATGGGTTTGCATTTTTTAGTTCTGTTTTATTGTTCAGCATAGAAGGGGGCATGATGGTTCAGCGATTAAAGACGCTGAGCTTATCAGCTGCAAAGCTGACAGCCTGGGTTCAAAACCTAAGTGCCTCATAACAGGGTAAGCTCCTGTTCCTGCCTGAGCTCCTGCCCATCTAGCAGTTCAAAAGCATGCAGATGCAAGTAGATTAATAAGTACCACCTCGGTGGGAAGGTAACGGCGTTCTGTGAGCCTTTAGTGCAGTGGTTCTCAACTTTTTTAATGCCGCGACCCCCAACCGGTCGTAAGTCGAGGACTACTCAACCGGTTGTAAGTCGAGGACTACTCAACCGGTCGTAAGTCGAGGACTAATCAACTAGTGCAGCACCGTTTGCAGAATGGGACTTTTGGTGGGCTCAGCAGGGCAGAGACAGCCTGGACAATTCCTATTGGCTTTTGAAAGCCAATAGAATTAGACTTTATTCAAGAGAGTCTATTCTGTTGGCTTTCAAAAGCCAATAGAATAAAAGGGAGTAGCACAGCTAAGGAAAAGGGGGAAAAAATGGTGGACTGCGTTGTTTGGCGACCCCCGTGAAATGGTCATTTGACCCCAAATGAGGTCCCGACCCATAGGTTGAGAACCACTGCTTTAGTGTATAGCCATGCTGGCCAGATGAGCACGGATAATGTCTTCAGACAATGCTGGCTCCCTCAGCCAAGAAACAGATGAGCACCGCACTGTAGGGTCAGCTATGACTAGACAGGAAAACCTTTACATGTTCAACATATATTCAAATTACATCATTTTTCCAGACATATTTTAAATTGCAGAAATGGCATAAGGATGGGGAACAAATGGATGAAAGTTTTAAGAATCCAAGAAGAGCTTTAGGTAGTCTGATCAAAAGTCTGTCTGGTTCAGCATCCTATTTGTCAACAGTGGCGATGGATACTTCTGCAAAGCCAACAAGTAATACCACACAACAGTGGCCTTTTCAATTGTTACTCCCAACGACTGATAGCCTTGCTGTTATTAATCTTGGAGATAGTGCCCCTTGGTAGACTTTGAAGAACATACCTGCATGTGGTATGTTCTTAGTTTGCTCCAAATGCTTCACGTACATTATGTCAAAGTGAAAAAAAGATTAATGTTGTTATTCTCATATTGCAGACAGAAGTCTGATGCTGAGAGATAATTGTTTGCTGGTTAGTACGTGAATGGGAGATCAGATCACCAGAGAATTATAAAGCTGTACGTTAGACAATTCTGGGAAAAAAGCAATTGCAAACCAATTTTGTACTGTTGCCAAGAAGAAAACCCTGCATAGTTTTGTCTAGGTATTCACCAACTTGGCATTCTTAACTTAAAAATTGCTTTTTCATTTTTAAGGCTGCATAGCAAATGTACTGTAAAAATGTGATTGGAAGGCATGAATTTTACAGTACATTGTTCAGCCTTAGCCAATAATCTTTATCACTCCTTTTATGCATTGTGTCATGGATAATCAGTAGAGTGAATAAAATGAAGTTCCTTTATTGAGTAGGTCTCAGGAGGCAGATACTAGAAAACCAGTATCATTTATTCGACCAGCTCTGACTTGCTTTTGAGTTGGCATAGAAAATTTGCTTCCATTAATTTTGATAGGAAGAAAGAATAAATTTGTGAAAACGCCACTTGATTTTTTTAAAAAAGCTTTCTAGCTCCCACAAAATTCCTCTCTTTTCTCTTATAATTCTTTTTTTAATCCCACTTTTATCCTCGACTTACTATCACAATTGAGCCCAAACTTTTTGTTGCTAAGTGAGACATTTGTTAAGTGCATTTTGCCCCATTTTATGACCTTTCATGCCACAGTTGTTAAGTGAATCACTGCAGTTGCTATCACGGTTGTTAAGTGAATCTGGCTTCCCTGTTGACTTAACTTCTCAGAAGGTCACAAAAGCTGTTCACATGATCCCGGGACACTGCAACCCTCATGAAGCAGTTGCTGAGCATCTGAATTTTGATCACGTGATCAGGATGCTACTGCAATGAAAATGGTCATAAGTCACTTTTTTCAGTGACATTGTAACTCTGTAAGTTGAGGACTACCTGTGTTTTTATAAATAACTCAAGGCAGCAAACATGCCTAATACTTCTTCCTATTTATCCCACAACAACAATGCTGTCAGGTGAGTTGGGTTGAGAGAATGTAACTGGTCCAGTTACCCAGCTGGCTTCCATGCCTAAGGTGGGACTTAAAATAGCAGGTTACAAGTCTTTGTTAGTTCAGGTTAAGCATGGAAATAGGCGTTAATGCCTACTTTGCATATTCTAGATCAGGGCTTTTCAACGTTTTCACCCATTGTACCACTTTTAGGATATGGCAACATCCGAGTACCACCAGTCGCCTAGCAAGGTGTCAAAAACTTGATGACCCCCCCCCAAAAAAGGAAAAAGTGATAAAGTACAGGTAGTCCTCGACTTACAACAGTTCGCTTAGTCACTGTTCGAAGTTACAACAGCACTGAAAAAAGTGCTCCCCAAGCCACAGCCGAGCAAGACACCTGCCTGCCCGCCCAACGGCGCTCTTCCTCCTGTCTGAGGTTTTCATTGTTGTGAGCATTTCTGTTGAGGATTGGCAGCGAGGGTGGGGTGGGGGGTGTTTGGTTTTTATTCCCCCATCTGCTGGGTGGTTGTAGCAGGTTTTGGTGACTTCACATGACCCTGGGACACTGACCGTCATAAATATGAATCAGTTGCCAAGCATCTGAATATAAATCACAAGACCCTGGAGATGCTGCAACATTCCAGCTGATCGGCGCTTCTTCTGGGCTCAGCAGGATCAGTGCTGCTTTCCAGCTGATTGGTGTTTCTTCAGGGCTCAGCAGAAGCACCAGGATCAGCGCCGAGCTCCAGCTGGAGCCTGGCGCTGATCCTGGCACTTCCGCTGAGCCCTTACAGCCCCGAAAAAGCACCAATCAGCTGAACAGCGGCACTGATCCTGGCGCTTCTGCTGAGCCCTGACAGCCCTGCAGCTCCAGTCATCTCTCGCTCAGGCTTGTGCGGTGCTGCCACCGGTTCAGCCCATTCCCCTCCCCCCTACCACTTTTCTAAGATGGTCGCGTACCACCTGCTAGGTGCCAATGTACCACAGGTGGTACCTGTACCAGTGGTTGAAAAGCCCTGTCCTCAACAGAAATGCTCACAACAATGAAAACCTTGGACAGGAGGAAGAGCGCCGCTGGGCGGGCAAGCAGGTGTCTTGCTCGGCTGTGGCTTGGAGGGCACGTTTTTCAGTGCCATTGTAACTTCGAACAGTCACTAAGCGAACTGTTGCAAGTCGGGGACTACCTGTACTTTATCATTTTTTCCTTTTTTTTTTTTTGGTCAAGTTTTTGACACCTTGCTAGGTGAGTGGTAGTACTCGGATGTTGCCATATCCTAAAAGTGGTACAATGGGTGAAAAGGTTGAAAAGCCCTGTTACAATGTATATGTGTAGATCAGTTATCACAAATCAAAGATCACAAGTAGATTGTTCATATTTTCTTAAGAAAATGCGAGTCTGTTCATCTGTATTGGGCTCTGACATCAAATATTAATTGTTCTTTTACTGCAGCTGTTCTGTGTTGCTTACCTTAAATATTTCATTTTTTAAAAAAAATGTTCTTTATTTGGATTTCTAATTACTGGCAAATAATTTTGGATGGTAATTGGAATAGGAATTACCTAAATTAAAAAGCGAGTGTGTGTTTTTCACATACTCATAAATTCATTTTTAATAACTAAATTATATTAACTAAAAACTATTACATAATTTGCTTTGACCTTTCAATTTATTCCTAGCATCTATGTTTTAAACTATTAACTAGAAAATAATTACCGACTTCAAAGTACTGCAGGCCACTTTAGCTGACTGTGTTCAGCAGGTCAGCGGTTCAAATCTCACCGGCTCAAGGTTGACTCAGCCTTCCATCCTTCCGGGGTAGGTAAAATGAGGACCCAGATTGTTTGGGGCAATGTAAATATATATATACATTGCTTACTGGTGTACACCGCTTAGAGAGTGCTTGCACTTAAAGCGGTATATAAGTCTCATAAATAAATAAATAAATAAATAAATAAATTAAAGAGAAAGGGGGAAAAAAGATGTATAAAGATGCCCAGTTTCTTTGCCTTATTAAATCAGAGTTGCCAATTCCTTTTAAACCAGTCTGGAGTTCTGGTTCACATTTTTTCTGTGTCAGAAGCTACACTCAAAAAAAAGCTATGGCTGTGATAAAAACAGAATATCTGATTAAAATTAATTGCTTATAAAATAATTTACCTCTGTTACAAAATTAATAAAATCTTCTAACATCAAATATTCTGCCTCTTACCCACAAGCCGCTTTGACCTATAAAACACATGCCCACATTTTCCTCCCCTCTTCCTGCAGAAGCAGCCAAGAAGAAGAAGAAATCAGAATGGAAATGGGGTGAACAGTTGCTGCGCTGGAAGGCAAGAGAAAGACAGGAGGAAGGGAAACTAAACTGGACAGAGATGGGGAAGGAGAAAGATGTAACCAGATAGGGAAGGAAATACGAAGAGAGAAGCCATGCTTTAGTGTTATGAAAGAGTTATATTCACCAAACACAGTCTTTCTCAAGTCACTTTCAAAGTTGGCCAGAGTTTTCAGCGGAACTGTTTCCTGTGTACGGGAGCTTCTCTTGATATAACTGAACATAGTTATTTTGTCCTGACTTCCAGTTCAGAAAACATGGTAGATGTTATTGTTACACATTCAAAAAAAACTGTTGCTGTAACCACTAAAGCTGTGTGGAGGTACTGTGCAGAAACACTATGGTATTTTTAAAACAAAAATGCTTTTGGATTCATTGCATCCATGTTCTGATATTGAAATATTAAAATAAATAAGCAAATGAAGACATAAAAAAAATTGTGATCCTTTAAATTATTTTTCTTGCATAGACATGATAACTGCTTGTTTTTTTTGTGCATCCAGTTAATACTAATTTCATTCACAATTGTTCTCTTAAAGCATTATATATCCTTGTGGCTGTATTTTTCTTATTATCATTTTAGTCTTCATGCTTGAAATTTAATCCCATTAATCTCCAAAGGACATTTGCTGCCATCACCAAATTGTTTCATGGTGTTTAAATTATTTTGTTTTTCTCCTGTATTTCATTATATATATATGAGGGAATATAAATAGGTGGATGGGGGAGGGGAGATATAGAACAACATAATAACTTTGTTAACATTTAAACAAAGACTTGAACTAAATGTAACTATTTAAATCACTTAAAATGATTTATAATGAGATTCTTTTAATATCACTAAACTGTGGGCTATGAAATCCTTGCTTTACCTGCATTAAATATATACTTATAAATCTGTCACTTTGACAGATGGAGGTTTTCTAGGAGTAGGATTTCAAATTTTCCTCAGAAACTGTCCTTCTGTCCACACTTCCCAAAATCCTCTCCTCTGTTTTCACCTCCCTCTGGAATAAAATCCTGGATAAAAGCCCTGCCTTTTCATGAATTGACTGAATTTCTCCTACCCAATGATCACATCCTGCAGACTTGATACAGTACGTCTCTGTTCTGCACTCATGGTTTTATTTTCAGTACCAGTTCTCTTTCAAAACCAGTTATTTAGAATTGGTTTCTTTTTTGTTGGGGGTTTTCTGCATTTGAACATGAAATGACAATTATATTTTGAGTTTAGGACTGACTACTGCTCAGTCATCTTTTTGTAATTTAGGAGGGCATTTAATCACAAATATCTGCATTATCATTTGCTTGCTCATAATATTAAATATTTCTTGTTTAGATTCTTAGTTACCCACAGTAGCATAGGGTTTGTGATGATAACATTATGGCTTTTCCTTTTTTTTGGTATATAATGGACTTTTATGTCCTATGAGTACTCAAGGTTTATAGGGCAAGTTGATATTGTCTGGTGGATAGCATTCAGGATAGAAAAAAAGGCAAATACTAGTAGTAGATAAGGTTTCTACAGGCCAAGGCTACACTCTTATGATACAAGGACCAAGACATCCCTCCTGACTGGAATCTGTTTAAAGACAACATGGAGATTTTCTGGATTTTAGCAAATCTCACCAGAGATTGATTACACTTGCTGCCAAAATCATTGGATATGTTTTGTCCCCGATGGGCCCTGAAGCTACATAGCTTCAGATGTTTTCCAAGCCTCTTTTTAAATCCACATGTCACAGAGATTTCTTGAGCATGTGTCCCGGATTGGATGATGATAAAAAAGATGTTAAGCAATAAGCATATGATTCTGCAGTGACATGTCTAACTTGTGCCTGTTCAGTCAGCCCGGCTTCCATTTAAGCAGACAGCTGATTACCTTAATCCAGGACTTTTTCATTTGTATATTTTTTACAAAATGCCCCAATTGATTGACTCAATGCCAGTATGATATTAGCATAACATGACTTAAAAAATGGTCATCCAGTCACCATTAACTTTGTTTGTTTATTATTTTCAGGTAGAATATCCTGTCTGTATTGGTGTTGTCCCTCATCCCACTTTTTATTATGCTACACACTAGGAGCCCCTAATTTTTGAGGTCAATGGTCACTTATACAAGTCTGAAGGTGTGTTGTATGCGTTCTCTCAAAATTGATCCTACCGTGGCAGTTCCATCAAAATCCTGGGCTATAGACACCCACACTTTATTTGGTAAAAGTGCTTCTGGAGGTTTGATTGGAGTCATTGAAAATTAAGGATATGCTTAAGGCTAGTGCTTTGCTTTACAACAGATTGTCATTCATTTTTTAAAAATTAAAATTACTGAGGGAAAAAAATGAGGTGGGGCAGAGAGGCTGGTTGTCTCCAGAAAACATTTTAATAGGCATATTGGTACACCTCCAAATGCCAGCCATGACAATAAAAATCCTCCTGGAAGCACCTGGTGTTATTTTTTTTTTCTTCCTGTATACGGATATAGCTCTCCTTTTAAAAAAAATATCTCAGACATCTTCTAGCTAGCTTTCTGTATCTCAGAGAAAGATGTTTTTGAAAAATGATTTCTTGCTAATATTTTTTGTAGGGGTGTGTGTGTGTTGTGGCAAATACTGTTGAATATTGGCGTGTAAAGCATTGAAAGAAAAGCACTTCAAAATACATGGAAGTAAATGTGAAGCACTTCATTTTCAAATGTTTGAAGCAGTGGTATCGTCTGGAGGCCTTGCATCACTGCTTTGGATGCTGCTCTGGCAGCCTCCTCGTGCATGTTGACGCCCAACCGGTTTGCTTTGGTGGGAAGAAAATGAAGCAATCAGTTGCACATTCACAGGTGTTTGGAAAATGGGGAACAGCTTCTAAATCAGCCACGTGAGCTGATTCAGGCAGCTGATTCACTATTTCCCTTTATTTGTTATATTTATATCCTGCCTTTCCTCTAGAACACGCTGCGTCATGTGTCGTGACGTGACGTATCACAACTTTTTTTGTGTTGCCGGAGCTGGGGTGGTATGACCTCCGTATGATGCAACTGGCCCATGGGCCGGCAGTTTGACACCCCTGCTCTAGAATCTGAAGTGGCCGTGCATAGCATCTTTTTCTAGTTTTTCTCTGTAACAGCCTTCTGTGATTGATAGTTTGGACTAAAAGACACCCGTAAGTTTCAGGGTCACCCATAAGTTTTCATGAGCTAATATCCCTGGCTCTTAATCATGACTACACTATATGAAGTGTTTTTGTTTTTCCCAAGGCCTTTCTGAAAGAGAGATAAGTATACTAGCATATTACTCACCAACTGTTTCACATCAGAAGGAAGTTTGAGATTATTTTTTTAAAAAAACATTAACACCTTTGCTTTTCCTTTTTACCAGACAAAGCCACCAACCCCTTGAATAGACAGGAAGACTGGGAGTATATTATTGGCTTCTGTGATCAGATCAACAAAGAACTTGAAGGGTTTGTATCCAAAACTATCCACATTGCATCATGAGGTTTTATTGAAGAAGGGATTTTTTTTTTTTTAGAAAGCTTCAGGAGTTGATCCTTAGTTTAATACAGTTCATGTGATGGATCAAGCCCCATCACATAAACTGTATTCAGTTAATGTTACATGTAATATTTGATTTTGATGAGATACTAGTACAGGTAGTCAGTGACTTACAACCATTAGTTTAGCAACCATTCAAAGTTCCAACGGTACTGAAAAAAGTGACGTATGACCAGTCCTTGTACTTAAAACTGTCGCAGCACCCCATGGTGACGTGATCAGAATTTGGACACTTGGCAACTGGCATGCATTTATGATGGTTGCAGCGTCCTGTGATGATCATTTGTGACTTTCCCACTGGGCTTCTGACAAGCAAAGTCAGTAGGGTAAGCTGGATTCGCTTAACGATACTTGATTAAAAAAAAAAACTGCAGTGATTTGCTTAACAACCGTGGCAAAAGACGTGAAATCGGGCATGACTCCTTTAACAACCACTTTGCCTAGCAATGGAAATCCCAGTCCCAAGTGTGGTTGTAAGTTGAGGACCCACCTGTACTCTCAAACATGAAAACTGTGCAGGAAGTATGTCAAAGCACTCCATGTATCCATATGGCTAGGGGTTGGTTTAGAATCCAGGGATAACATTTTATTTCATTTCATTTCTGATACTGATACCTTTTGCAATATGAGGGATGTTAGTTGCTCTTTTTGAGTGTTTCATCCTCAAAATACTGCAGTGATTCTAAATGTTAGTAGGCATGTGGGATTTTAAATGTTTCTTCTTCTTGTGCCATATCCGTTATCGGACGTTGGCGATCCTCTTTTTATCAGCAGCCGCACGAAAAAGTCCCTTAGATTTTGAAGCCACGATGTTCTTCTTCTGCCTGGACCTCGTTTGCCTTCGATCTTTCCCTGGAGGATTAAATGGAATATGCCGTATTTTTCTGGGTGTCGCATCACATGTCCGAAATATTCTAATTTTCATTTTTTAATTGTTTTGATGATTTCCCTTGGCTTTCCCAGGTGGCTTATCACCTCCTCATTTCTGATCTTGTCAACCCAGCTTATACTTAACAGCCGCCTGTAGATATTTTTCTAGGGGAAAAATATCTCAAAGATGCTTTTTCACGAGGCTGAAGGAGATTCTTGGATGAGAAGGGAAACGTCTTCAGAGAAAAACAAGAAAGTCCAGTTGCCTCACGAAAAAGCACCTTTGGGATAACCATGACCTGGATGACTGACAATCTCCATAGACATTTAGGGGAAACGAGGATAATGAATTGTAGCATTTGGAGTTATTGAAAAATGGTATCCTTCCGTTATGAGAAAATGAAGGGCATTAAAACTGCTTTCTCCAATCCTTAATAGTATAGCAAAATTGATAAAAGTGAAGGGGGTTTGAATACTTCCTGAATGCACTTTATAACAATTGTATTTGAAAACGAGATTGCTGCATATTGCAGGGGCAGCTATGAAAATGAAATATTTTTTATTGTTCGTATTTCCCAAACCTTAGTGTGAATAATCACAGATTGTTTCTCCTGTTTAGTCTTAGCACTCTCTCTCTCTCCTGTCTTAATTTTTTTTTTTTTAGGGACAAAGAACAATGATCTCCTATCTTTTTGTGTAGGTGGTCAGGTATGTTTGGGGAATGCTATTTAAATAAGTAACCTATTTATTTTAGTCCACAGATTGCTGTCAGATTGCTGGCTCATAAAATCCAGTCACCACAGGAATGGGAGGCAGTCCAGGCCTTGACAGTAGGTCTTCTTTACCTCTCTTGTGAAATTCTGGATTTGCACACAGATTAATATCTTTATAAAGTAGAATTATCAATGGTGCTACAAAGAGTTATTTAGATTAAGGAACAATGTCTCGTGTGATCATTAGCCTCTTCTGTGGCAAACTGTGGATTATTTTTCTTATTTTATTTCCCCCTAGCTCTTTAAC